AACTGGGATATTGTTGAGATAAGTCTTCTTGCCTCCATGAAAAYGCTGGCTGCATACTTTGTGCCCAGCCGTGGGAGAAAAGTTTTTCCTTGAAATATTGTTTAACCACAGCTTCCTTAGTTTTTTAATCTTTCGGAAACTTGTAGAAAGACAAATGTTTATCACGCTTATTATTATTAAAGCACCCTGGAACACAGCAAGTATAACTACCGCTAACAGAAGCCATTTTGGTTTCTTCAGCCTTGACCTCTACAACCAGCATGCTTTACGCGTGTACTATTGTCCCCGCTGCACGTCCCTTCTTGTGTGCATGTTTCAATTGTAATGCWGTTTCACGTCTCTGGGAAACGTCCCTACTCCACCACGATTTGCTTAAGTGTGCGCATACTGTAACTAATGCAGCAGCTACATGTCTCCGCTACACGTCCCTTCTTGTATACCTGATTGTCGGACTGTAGACGGGAGCCCTATAGCAGATGCCTGTTGGCAGGGTAGACCGGGTTACCTTGTGGGGAGGGTTTCAGAGACTCTAAGATCCAAGGGAGAAGTGGAAATAAGTTGAAAAGCTTCGAAAGACAGTGAGCGTGCTACTTAAGTACAATGAAAGCCATTTTGGACAAAACGTTTAAGTCATACTTCTATAATCTTCGAAAAATTCATTTTCAACTCCAATTCCCCCAGCAGTCCGTCGAACCCGAGTTTGGATTTTCACATACGCCCCGCCGCTTCTTCTATAAACGAGATCGAATTACGTTTTGCTTTGTTCGGCTAAAAAGTCGCTAAATCTTAAAGCTTCATTTAAACGGTAAGACATGCTAATCTTTGCTCAAGACTTCTTTCTGAATTGCTTGACTCTTTTCTAATTTCCTTTGCAAACCGATATTTGTAAATTGATAATCATTTGCTAAAGAAAATTTTCATTTACGAGTGAGCTGACACGGCTTAAAAACGCGTGATTGGTTAATTCAAAATATTAACTGAGGATGCGCAGTGTGTTTTCCCGCTGAATTTAACGCAGGCGTTAGTACAAAATGGCGGGCGACAAAGGATTCTTGTCGAGCGCTATTTTTTTCCGAAAATCGAAGTTGTTTTACTAACATATCTGGATTAAATGCCGTAATTGATCAAGAAAACAAGTCACATGAGTATCTTGATCTTATGTGAATGGTTAATTGTATTGTTTTTAGTCTTATTCGGCCAAAAACAAGTCRTCGAAGTGTATGTATTTGAATAAAAAGACAGCGAAGAAATACAATTATTGCGCCGTTATTCTAAGTCTTTTCCAAAGTTC